ATCTATTTTTAGCAAGCCTCATGCTAAAAAACTTTCTTTCTGTAATTGAGATCATTGTAATAATCATTAAAGATAGGAGATCAAGGCACAGTTCCTTAAGAACTATGACTGCAATAAATATTGACAATATTGGCAATCTTTTCTAAAATAGAAAAGTATAATATGATTCTGATCTCTTCTGCGAATGTAATTCTATGGCCTCACTAAAGCTTCTCCACATTTACTTCAGCATCAGTAAAATCTAAATCTATAGTAGACTTGTTTATTCACCATTCTGAGGAAACTATCTGACTTTTTGTAATGGTAGAATTTTTTTTAACCACTGTTTTTGTGACCAAACTTCTTTCATGAAATACAGGGAGGTGCAAAGTGAAACCCTAAGACACATTAACTGAGGACAACAATCCCCACTAAGTTTCCAGACCTAGAATCATATAATTTCCTGTTATGAATATGAATAATTATTAGGATTTTTTTGGTTTGTTTTAAGGTTTTGACTATTCAGACTCAAGATTGTCTACACACATCAAGTCTGAAAAAAGCATGCGCTGCATTTTGACACATTTTCTTCCCTTTATTTAAAATTCTTGTCATGACATATTTTTTTCATAAATTATATTCTGAAGGTTTTCCCCACTTCAGCTATCTCTCCTCCCTTTACTCTTGTCAATATAAATACTTTCCAAAGGATGCTTGTTCATGAGTGCTTCCATTTATCAAAGGGTACCCACTACCTAAATATAGAATAATGCACACTTGCTAAAAATGCTCTGGGACTAGTAAGGAGGAGTGGTTACATGGTAAAGGGACATAAGGGATAAGGTAGAGTCTGTTTAATTTCTGTGAAGGTGTGGCCTGGCATTCAAAGGGAGAGGCAGCTCTGGAATCCTAGCTGTGGTCAGTATCAACACTATGTTCAGCACCAGTTGGTGGCCCAGAGCCAACCTCCACATTATTGTCCCCTGAAGTAGGCACACCAGAAGCACCCCTTTATTTTCTGTTGCATAAAAGGCACATTACAAAATGACAAAAACAGCAAGTTATGCATATGCAGACAAGTCACCTGCAGCCAGTTATACTGCAGATGAGGTGGAGCATAAAATTGCCAATTAAGCCTGAAGCTTACTAAGCAAATAAGAAAATTGCACTTTGATGGTCAATATAGTGACATATCGTGCACCAAAGACAAGTGTTAGGAACATCCATGTTTGCTGGTAAAAGCTTATTCAGATGTCTGAAATGTTGCTGTTCCACATGTCTAGAGGATCCACCATTGTGGTGGTGATTGGCACCCTCTCAAAGACTATTTGGAGATCACCTGTCTAAGCACCCAAAGTCTTCTGGGACCCAGTCTAACCCATGCCCGCATGTCTCTCCTTGACTATTCAGAATTAAAAATCATGTTTGCGTGTCTTCTTTCTAATAGCCAAGCAATTAGACCATCTCGCCTTGTGGTAGGAGATTGGGTATTTCCAGATTGTACCTAAAAAATACAGTTATTCATACTTATTAAAAGAAGTTTGTGATGAAATGACAGAGAAAAACCTATGATGAGCAGGAGTCTCCAATGCAAATTAAAAGTATCTAATTCTCTCTGTGTGATGTATAAATCTGGCATGTATTTTGGAAATACCTAATATGTGTCACAGCTGAAGCTTGGAATGTAAACAGGCATAAGAATATTTGGCAGATAACCCAAATTACAGCCTCGCCATCGCAACTTCATTAGAAAAGAGATATATTAGAAAACTAATCTCCTAGGAGGTGTGGAACAAACTGACACTTGTCTTTAAGCTCTTAAAATGTCTGAATTATAGAATTTATTATTATCTTAACATATTTAAATGAATTCAGTCAAGTATGTATCTGAACTCTAGAATAAATTATTATCTCTGTGTCACTGCCTTGAAATCTGTTAATATCTAGGAAGGATCCATTTGCAGAATTGCTGCATAGATAGATATGTACCATATGCCTGAACTGAAGACATTCACCTGTCATTTAAAATCAGATTAATCTCTTGCATTTCAATACATGAGTACAGAGTCATGAATCTGAAGGAAAAGATTCTAAGGCAATTCTAGTTTCTTTTTCTGGAGGGATCTACAAGTCCTTGGGACATTAGCCACTTGAGAAAGATAAGAAACCATCTACTCTGTAGTGGAATTTAGGACATTCAACAGGCTAAATATGCTCAAGGTGAAATCCTGACTCCAGTCAAGCCAGCAGTAAAACTCCCTAAGACTTTTAAAGGCCAAGATTTTCCCTTATCTCATCACATGTGGTTTTGAGCCCAGCTTTGTAAGATAATGAACGTACAGAAGTAATGACTATTCACAGTGATTGCCAGAGTTATGACTTGGTTTTAGATCTAGCATATCTGAAATGTTTCTTCATACCCTATAAGGGAGGAGATGCTCTATACATGCAGAAACAGGTCCTTCATAAACTGGCAGTAAAGTCTGTCTTCCTTATCAGGGTACTGTTTAGGGATCCAGAGAGTGGAAAAAAGCTTCAAAGGAAGAAAAATCCCCTGCACTCATTTCTTCCATTCATACTCCTCCTACCCAGGCGTAATGAAAGAAGTCCTTTTTGCTACCTCCACAAAGAAATTTTCCTAAGAACCTATATATTGAATTTTCCTTAAAACCTATATTTTGAATTTTCCTTTGACTGAGTGGAAAAGGAACCAACAAGAAAATTTAACTGTTGGTTACTAGTCTTCCAATTAAAAACAGAATAAAAGTTACAGGACAGCAGCACAGTAAGGAACAAGGAAATAAAGCAGAAAGGAAAACAAGCAATAAAACATTCCTATTTATTTAGTAAAATAGTCCGAATTGTTCTCGGAACCTGAGTCAGAGACAATTACGTTATGGGAAAGGGAAAAAGGATAAAGTCCTAGTAACAGAGAGAAAACTGTTTCAAATATGGTCTTTAGACCTTGTGAGAACAACAACAACAACAACAACAAGATAGTATGCAAACTGAGAAATCGTGTTCTTTATTTAAAGGAGGAATATGATGGATCAATTTCATTCATTGTTTACTTTCCTGGATTAAGCCAGCAGGACTCTATAGATGTTAATTCAAAATCACACAGAACCCAATTTCAAAATCCATAAATCTTTTACTTTATTACCCAGTAATATTGCAATTTCCTTCTCTCTCCTGAACAAATTCTTCAAGAAGACATCCAAATGGACTACAAGTTTTCTGCATTCCTATTGTCACATCTTCATCTTCTCACATTTCCTGAATGTTCAGTCTTAGCTCCATTTCTTAAATCTTTTTATCCCTATTTTGTCTGGGGATTTACATTCACAAACTCAAAAGCTTTCCCCTTAACAAGGTGTCTAACATGGAATATTTATAAACACTGGAAGATCTCAGCCAGAACAAACCATAAAGCTGCAGTAGAAACTGTTTTGACCAGTCAACAGCAAAACATCTCTCCCAGTCACCATTGGAACCACATTCTAGCACCTCCTCTTCTGCAAAATTACCTCCAGTTACAGACCTTTCTAAAATACTGTACTAAATTAGGTATCACCCAAATTCTGCAGTAAATTAGGTATTACCCAGAGTAACTAGCTTATATCCATGTGTATCCACTTGGGTAGTATCTCACCTGCCTTACTAGAAAATGTTGATGCGATTACATTTCTGCACAGGACTGGGTAATGTGACCTGGTAACTCTGTAGCAACCCCGCCCCCCGTCAGCAACAACAGCCTTAGTGTTTTATGCCCTCTCCTTGTCAAATCAGTCACATTAGGAAAATAAATCTCCTGTGAACCCCACAGTTGCAGCTGCTTTTTTTTTACTCCTTGCTTTGAAGTTTTGATAGCACATACTTTATATCTTAGTTAGCTTTTGGTGATGACTTGCATGTTTCTTGGGGCTTGAAAAATAAATCTTCATAGCCCCAGAATGCCTACGATAGTTCAAAGTGGCAGACCATGCACATCTCTGGAAGTAGCCAAAGAAATTCTTCCAAGAACTTCTAAGATAGATCAAATAACCTCACAGTCAGTGTTTTTTCTGAATTCCATCTAGGTAACACTGATCCCAAAGCATTAGGGTATGCATCTTTCATCTTTTTTAGCCTTTTTAATATCACTACTGTGGTTCTATCATTCATAAAAATGACAAACCTTATTTTGACTTCTTGGAAGCTCTTAGTTTCTATAAGACAGAGCTAGACAGACCTGTTCAAACAGAAAGAAACTGAATTGTAACCTCCACAGAAGATTTCCTAAAGGATTTTGCTAAGGTTCAGGTACAGATCAAAAATTTAATCTTGACTCTTAGTATATTGAATAGTGTAGGATAGAATCATAGAGTCGGAGCATTAGAAATAGTCTGAGATAACAACATCAGTACCACCTTAGCAAAGCATGAGTAGCAATTGCAAAAAGTGCGTGCCTAGCTTACCTTTAGTCATAGTAACAAGAAATAAGAAGTATGGAAAGCATCAGCAGTGAGAACATTTATATTTTTAAAGATGAATGACAGTTTTCAATGGGTGAAGATCAGAAAGCAGTTCTGATTGTAAACAAAGGAGACTTCTATCCCTTCTGGCACTGAGCCTGTATTCCTGATTAAAATCCCATCTGCACTGGCACTAAAACTTTCTTGAAACTTTGAGGGTGAGCTGAGGTTAAGTTATGTAGAACGAGTCCTAAATGTCATACACTCGCAGCAATTTCTAGAATACATATTCTTCCTTTTTGTTTATTATTCACATAATTATAAATCTGATATGTTTCATATTACTGTAATATATGCTAATAACAGCTGGCCTGTGCTTCATGGCTCTTTATTTGCTTACTAAATAATACATTTGAGATTTTAAACAAATTTATTTTAATCTCCTACTATGAGAATATGGTTCATCTATGATATGGTTCTTTGAAATATATTTGTTTCCAATGATATCTAGGGTTCAGTATGAGCACTCTCTTGTATCAGTGACTTTGAAAAAATGGCTAACACTACTTATTGAAATATATTTTATTTAGAGTGATGCTCTATATTTCAAATAATTTTTATAAATTAGACAAAGAACACTAGCTCTTCAGTCCTCCAAAATATGTTCACTGCGATGGTGACACGGAAAAGCAATAAACAATCCAGGATTTAAGGGTCATCACATCCAGAGGAAAAACCACATCGGTGTTTGCATTACCCTCAAATCAACTTTATGCCAAGACATTAAGAAATAGATACAGAAGTAGATGCAGAAACAGTTATGGAAAACAACCATTTACTGTGATTCAAATAGTTACAGACTTATTACTTGGTTTAAATTCATATTTAAACAAATAAAATAGGGAATAATGATTACATGTGTTCGTACTTGAGATCCACTCAAAGACATTTTTCTTCATTTCAAATACTCCTAAAATGCTCCCATGCACACTGTTCTTAGGATGAAACTATTGTCTTTTGCTCTCAGAAGAAAATTTTGTTGAAGGTAGATTCCTGTTGAGCTCATATTCAAGCTCAAACCTTTACTCCACCACAGACACCTGTGATCTGCAATTTAATCAGAGTGATAATTTTGACACTTCTCCTGAGGGGTTATTTGCCCTCCCCATCTAACTCTGCAACTTATTAAGGTCCCTTTCAGGTGAAGTCATCTCCCCATAAACAGAAGCTTGCTAGGGAATATTTTCGTTTTCAATATAAACAAATCATTAAGACCCTGGGGAGACAACATTCCCTCATGCCTGGTATTCAAAGAATTCAGCTCGCAATATATATATTCTTTACCAACAAAAATCTGTATCTCATGTAAACAACTATGCTGACAGTTGTATTTTATACAAGCATATAAATTACAGCTCATGAGCACTTATGAGGTGGTCATTGTGTATTTTTGATTGAGGTTGGATGTAACGCTAGACAAAGATCTATTAGGAAATAGGAAGTTTGAAGGTTTCCTTAATCTGGATTTAGCAGAATATCACGGTCTACTTCACATTCTCCTATGCCAAGCAACCACAGCTATGATGATGAGCATTTCTTTCATTCCAAACCTAGAAAATGTTCTTTATTATACATTTTCTAAGTATGGGTCAGTCAGGTGTAACAAATAAGGCCCACAAGCTCCCACAGCAAAACTGCTTCTTTGTTAAAGCTGGATCGCAGGAAAGGTTGAACTGTTCTCAGCTGGCAACAGTTCTCAATTTATATGATCAAAGCTGAAAACACAGCCGTCACCTTGATGTCCTTAGCCTTTTGTTGTCACTGTAAAAATTTATACTTACATCAGTGGTTAGAAAAATGGTGGTTAGAGTTTATACTTACATCAGTGGTTAGAAGTTCTGCTTCATCTGTTGCTGAACGTTACCTGGTTATGTTTCCTGCAGCCTTTACTGAAAACAAAACCCAAATCTGCAAAAAAACCCCTTAAATCTAGACACTTGTTTTCTCCAATGGCAAAGCAGTGTAAAACAGTTTCTCGCTCCCCTGTTCCTGCACACTTGGTTCCCTTCTTTGCAAACCCACTTGGCTCACAACTGCAGCTCAGTGCCCTCCTAGCTCTGCCAGCTGAAGGGGCTGCAGGGCTGACTTTGGCTTCTTTGGGCTGTGCTCTGATGGCAGTCACCAGAAGGATCAGAGGTGGAGGGGGGTTTCTTTAAAACTACTTTTGAAAAGGGAATTTGATAATTTCAGTGATCCCAGTTTGCAAGACATCTCTACAAATAGTTGTATAAGCACAGCTAACAAACTAGTAAGAGAAACATTGTGGACAGTGATAACAGAGAGAGGAATAGGAAAAATCAGAACCTCTTACACTGGTTTTGCTGATAGGAAAAATATTACTGGAAAAATGTCACTGGGATGAAGTTTTTGGAGTGTGGCTTTGTTCAGCAGCATTACCCAAGTAACTGTTTTGCTGTAGGTAAAGAGAAAGCCTGCTTGCCTTTGCCGTGTCTGGACTCTTGCTTACCTTGTGCCAGCTGCGCTGGTTGTCTGGCAGCACAGAGGGACAACCAAGAAGTTTAGCGAATTCAGTTCATTAAAATTATACTAACATTAGGTGGAACAAAAAACATAGGGTTGTTGTTTGGTTTGTTTGTTTGTTTTTTCCAAATGAGGGAATTAGCTTAAAGAGTGTGAAAATAAATGAGATATGTGGAAGAATCAGGGCAAGAAAAGAAAAGTGAAGGAGAAAAAGGATGGAATGTGGTCTGTTACGGAACAGTTATTCATTTGGCTCAGTTGTGTCAGGAAAACTTGTCATTACTCTTTGAAAAAATAGCAGCATTAAGAAAAAGATAACCATTGCAGCCAATAATAATTATTCCCTTGCAGTCAGGCTTTTTGTATATAAGAGAGAACTGGATCATCATTACTAAGCAAAACTCCTCTGTGTGATGCTATTTTCACAGATGTGCGTGTCTGTTGGCACTTCAACAGGTGGAAACAAATGGCTGCACCCCAACCTTACCAGGCTGGACTTTGAGCAGGGGATGCAACAAAACTGTACATGTATCCATTGCCTGACATAATTTTTAAAACTCTCTGAGGCAACTTTACGACACTGAGCCACCTTTCAAGGACTCATCTTCCTTCCAGAATTTACCAGCATATAACTTGCATTTTCATCAACTCCTCTTAAGCCAACAGTATTTGTTGCACATGACCCCAAAGCAAGAACAAATAGCAGGATGCCATTGCCAGAAATCACTGCAGTGATGCTGTTAAAATAGGTTTTGTCTTCTTTGCATTGCCTAAAGGATTCAAAATAAGGATAGAGCAGTCTCTTTTCAATAGTAACAGACTTGCAAAGGAAAAAGGAGTAAGAACCCTGAAATCAACAACTTCTCAGTGATAAGATGATGTTAGCATTGATAAGTTACTAAAATCCTTGTCTGATACTTGCCATTGTATGAAACTACGGTTCTTTCTGATTTTTTCCATTTTCACAGCTGAGACTTCAGTTTTCATTGGCATGTTCCATTTTTGTACTTCATTACACTGGAGTTAACCCTTGATGGAGCAAACTGTAATCAAGCACACAGTAATTTAGCATGGGATTAAGAAACCCAAAATAGATGACAGAATCCTGGTAGCCTAAGAAATGAAACAGAAATTTGTTTTCACAAAGAAGCAAGGTAAACAGCAACAGTGCCAGCAAATCACTGTTTCCTTCAACATGACTGTGCAAAAAAGCTTTACCTATTGGCAAAATTGTTCATGAGTCTGGAGTTCCTCACCTACATCTAATTAATGATAAATCAGGATGTCATTCCTGAAAGCACTGTCTCATTCTGCCATGGGGATTTTGAGAGCATTACCTAATTTTCAACTGACCTCTTTGAACTTGGGGTGATCAGTAGTTTTCCAAAAAGGACCATAAGCTGGGTAATTTCAATATTTTTGCTGAAAACAGTCTGCCTTCTGGTTGATGATGATGATGACGATTATCATCCTACATCCTTTGAAAAGATCATTTTCTCCTTGGAAAAAGTAAACAAACCCCAATAATTTCCTCTGTTAGAAAAAATCTCTTCAGTCTCTTTTGTCAGTACATACCTGACTGCTGCTGTGGCTGACACCAATAGCCTTTGCTCTGTTTACTTTAAAGAATAAGCTACTGCTGTTTGATTTAGCTTTTCATTTTTAATGTGTAAGCCCTCTCTTGATCCTGCATTCCAGAGAGAAGGAACTAGAGTTCCTTTAAATATCATGCTAGGCACCTCTGAAGCCAGAGTTGTAGATATAAATCCCCCTAGCAAATTTATATAACTGAGATTTATAGGAGAAAAAAAAAAAAACAACAAAAAAAACCCCAAAAAACCCCAACAAAACAAAACTAATCATGTGAGCACCAAGTTCCCCTGGCAGCATTAACATGACAGGTGTACCTAGCCCAGCCAGTCACTTTTCATTTAACTGTCAGTACACTTGTCTAATGCTTCTAGCTGCATTGCACCAGTATAGTTTTTTATTCTAAAGGTCAGCCACCCTCACCAAAGTTCAAAAAGGCATTTAATGCAAACAAAAGATCAAATCAAAGGTGGCTTTCATCAGACCTTGCTTGAACTAGCTTGGCAAGATAAAGTGCGTTAATATGCAGGTTCCAAATTTCAAAGCAAAAAAATTCTTGTCAGGGCCATATGAATTGCAAAACAAGTAAGCAATAAGGAATTGTGTTCTTCCTTATGTTTGTGTTTGTTTAAAGTATTAAAGCTACCAGAGTTATACAAGTAGGGATTTCTATAAAGAAGGAAAAAAACACTGAAGAATGAAATTTAATGTTTCATTCCTAAGGGAGAAATAAGGACCCTGATCTTCTCTCAGGGAACTCTGTGTAGTTGATTAGGGTGGCCAGAAATTGGTTTGAAATTATTGATTACGAAGCCCCAGTCCCAGCTCCCTGATCTCGAAGGCACTCTCCAAGTCATCATACTGGAGGTAGCTAATGAAGCTGTGATGGCCACTCCAGCATATAATATCAAGAGAGTGATTATCAATCCAGAGCCCTGCTATCTGAGGCTGCCAGATCCTTCCCCAATCAATGAGAGAGGCAGAAAATGAGCTGCAATGACGAAGATAGATGTCAATAGAAGACGTATCTATACTGCTCCCATGAAGCCACTCACAAGGAAAAAAATGTCACTTCCCCTTCTCTCTTCCCTCCTTTCTCAGTTCTGGAGGAGGTGGTAGAGGAAACACAACAGTACTTCCCGAAACCTGGTGGTCCCACTAGGTAGGAATATTCCTTCCCTGCTCAAGGTGCCTGGGCTTTTTATTGCCAGATTAACAAAACAGCCAATATGTCCAAGAACATCGGAAACCGTGTAAGGAATGTGAAATTATATAGGGTTTTGGTTTGGTTTGATTTTGCACAGGACCAAACCACAGCGACAGCCGCTCAAGATGTAAACATAGCCCTCTTTAGGATGGAAACCACTTATTCAAGTTGTTTGAATCGGCTGATCCTCAGCAAGGGAAAGATGATGTTTATATAAATCCTACACTTCATCCCAGATAACAGCATAGTGACATCTTAATCCAAACGACACGGGGCCTCATCTTTCAGATTCTTTGTGTGAAGACTGCATGATTAATTCCCTGCATCAGAAACAGGTTACTCATCTATTTCCAAGTGCATTTGTCTGATGCAAATATTTACAGTTCTTCATTAGGCAGCTGCATTCCTTGGACACCTTAACTGACTTCAAGATACCCTAATCTGCATGGTTATCTTAGAGACACCTCTAGGGATGTACAGCAATCCCTGAGACATACATGACTATTCTAAGTTAAAAGGAATAGATTTTTCAGGTGGGCTTTCCAGTACTTTAAAACTTACGCAGTCATTTACAGCCCCAGAAAGCAGGAACTGCAAACTCTCCTTCCCAAGGAAAAGCAAAGTCTGAACAAACCTGAATGTCAAATTCAACCATGCTGAACATGCAGAATTGGACTCTGACTCAGGAGTCATCATATCTAATCTTCAAAACTTTCAGGTTGGTTTATATATCACATAGCAGGAAAAACAAACAAACAAAACTCAACATATTTTTTCTCTCTTCATTTTCATGTCATTTTTTAGTTCAGACCTAGGGTCGATGGTCTTATATTTTTTTTTTTTGTTCCTGTGTAAAAGAAAGGATTCAACTACAATTTGCTTATTTTTTCATGTTTTGTGAGAATTAAAAAAAAAATTTCCCATTGGAAGCTTAGCTTTTTGGAGTTTATCAGTTTTCTTCCTGCGGAATGTCAAACGATTTTGTTATCAATTGAAAAGACATTTCAAGTGAAAAGCAACTTTTAGGGTAAAAATTTCATCGGTTACCTTTTGAATGCAAATCTTCATAATGTTTATACAAAAACCCAGTGCATTTCAAGGTACATTCATATTCCTTCACCTCCTCCTATGAGGCTATGCAGAGGCTTAACTTTAAGTGTTTGTTCAAGTGTTTCGCTGCAGAGGAGTCCCTGAGCCCTTGGTGCAGAAGGCATTGTTGTGGTGATTTCAGACCTCCAGGCAGGAAGGAAATTGCACATGTGGCATCTTGTGAAGGACAGAAAATATCTCTGGCTTTTTCAGAAAATATAAAACCAGGTTTTTCCTTGGATTCTAAATGGACAAATTAATGGTCATCGGTAAAGGCGAGGAGAGAAGAAAAATTATAAAGTGAACAGCGGAAGAATAGATGTCTTTCTCCTTACAGACTTTATTGAAATGCTTTCAAACAATTGCCTTTGGATCAAGAATTCCTGAATTATTTTGCAAAACAAAGTAGAACTACAAATGAAACCAACACTGACAAGAAAAGGAGATGTTTCCCACCTCAAATATAGTAAAACAAAAGGTTGGAGGAGGGAGAAATGCATGACTCTACAAAAGAAAACAAATTGAAAGAGGTTTTTAAAGGGGTGGAAATGGCTGGAAAGATGGGAAAACACTTTTATTATCTGATGTTTCAGTGGCACATCTATATTCTCAGTGTTTCACAACCCTAACACTGACCGGCATGTTTTGCAAGAGAATTTGCATTTTCATCCTACTGCCACTAGACACTAGAAGTGTTTTCCTCCAATCTCAGATATCCATACACTGGTGTAATTAAACAAGGACAGAGGACAAAAACAGTCTCCCATTGTTGTACAGTCCACCTAAAGCTGTCTACAGAATCCCAAGACCATTTGCAATGCCTTCTTTGAAGGCATATCTCCTCCACACACCTGAGATGCCTGCGCTTCAGCTGAGCCAACCCAGGCTACCCTCTTACCTATCACCCACTCTAGGCACTCTTGTGAACAGGAACTCCCTTTGCTACTTTATTAAGTCCTTATACAGACCATGAAATCCACAGTCCATCCCTACATGCAGGGCATCAGGATTGAGTTTTTTATTTGGGATTTCTGAATGAGAGATTGTGCAATGCTTGGAAGGCTTCCATTTTTGTGTCAAATTGCACATATTTTCACTGAGGACTAGTCATGCTGGACCTTGCCCCATATGAGGTTACTTCACTGCATTGTGCAAACAGCTGCAGTCTAACAGTGTGGGGCAAAAGCTGTGCTTACAGATGGATAAATGTCACTGGTAAAGCCAGCAAACGGCTGAATCATCACCATACAAGCACCCAAAAAAGTATCTTTTACTGAAGACACATTAACCTCATTTTGCTTTTGGATTGGAAGACACACTTACATTAACCTCATTTTGCTTTTGGATTGCAAGACTCTGGGAAGAACCATGCAGAGAAGGGCAGTAACAAGAGCACATTTCCGAAGGGCAGTCACTTGTGCTGCTCTCTAGTTATCTCCTGCTTACATGCAAGTACACCACGCTCTAGGTTTCATGCCAGGACATACCCAAGACTCCATCAGTGACTGCTGCAGGGCACTGTTGAATCATGGGGACAATGAAGGTCCCCAGAAATGTGCAAAAATGTGTGTATGAGTCCTTAATATCTCGGTTTGGAGTGCAAGCAAAGGGAGAGCACTCAAACTCAGACTGGAAAACACTCGCTGCAGTCAAGCATTATTACACAAACTTCCACAAAAACAATAAAAAAGGAATAGATTTATTGCCTGTATTCCAGGAACCTGACAGAATAAGAAATGGATGCTGCTTATCATAGGCCAGAGAAAATTCTCGGCCAGAATAAGATTTTATTAATGGTTTAACCACATTAATTCAAGAATTCCAGACCTGGCACTGAGAGGCTTTGTTTCCACAAACGCTTTGGTATGGCACTGAGGCCAAAAGAAGCAATCCCATTCTCATTTTTTCTGACTCAACATTCCCTTTCCCTTGTTCTGGCATTCAGAAGGTGTGTGTCAATGCAGCGGACCAGAGTGAGGACCAGACCCACGCCTGAGCTAGCCAAGCCTCTTTTCCTGACCCAGCTCTCTCCTGGCTGGGTTTCCCTGCCCAGTGCACTGTGCAGTTACATGAAACCTCAGGTGGCATCAGGGACAGCATAGGTTCAAGGGGGACACCCTTGGTAGGGGGTTTGGAACTAGATGATCTTTAATATGCCTTCCAACTCAAGACATTCTACGATTCTACGATTCTAAATATGCACAGGAGTAAAGAGAATGCTGGACTGCTAACTCCAGTGGCAGTGATGTCTGCTGGCTTAACTTGGCTGTGAGTGACTGTGGTATCAGCATCATTCCCTCTTGCTGTAGCCTCCAAATTCACTGACCTATTTTGGAAGTACATCCTCTAAAGCAATGTGCTGTAAATGTGTAAGAGGATGTTACTTATACAGGATATTTATTAAAGTGATTGCATAAAGCTTAGGCAAAGAAAATACACAGAACATGCAAAGAGTATGTAGCACACATATATTACATGGGTTTATAAATGGTTTTAATTATATTGATGCTGAGTATCCATATCTGGAACTCAAAAGGATGTGTTTTACAAACACTGGCATAACAATGCGTGATACAGAATGGGAAAGGAACCTAGGTTAGAACTGAGCATATAGTTCTCTCATGATCTGTGGCTACCAACAGATACAGCAGAACTGCTGTTGAAAAAGACCTAATGAAAAATACAGGCCAAAAGAATTATTCTGATTTTAACAAACAGTTTAAATAAATAATATTTGTTTTTCTCAACTGAGTTCTGGATAGTCTTTAATAACGGGGGAAAAAAACCAGTATTTTTCTGGGACCAAAAAGGAGCAGTTGAGCTGCTGGCAGGAGTGCCTGTAGAGTACACAGAAGAAGAGTGAGGAATTAAGCTGTGCTATTTTAAAAGGTTGCTTTCATTGACTG